AAGTAATATCAGATCAGTACTTTGTTTTGATTTAATTTACTTTAAACAAATAGCAAAAATATATTGCAGATACATGAATTTTTAAATTTAGTTGTTGTGTGTTATTCAAACGATAAAAATTTTATAATAAACAAATTATATTACTAAGAATAAACCTTCTATTTCTTTCAAGTTTGATGGCAAAATTTTAAAATTAATTATACAATGTTTATTTATTATTTATAACATTTTGACTCGTTAATAATAATTGTGTATCTAAATTATTATTATTATTATAATTTTTTTTTTAGTTTAAATAACTTATTTATAAATCACTTTAATAGCAATGTTTAATTATATTAAGTGTATAAAATTATTTAATAATTAATTAACTTTTAAAATTGCATGACATATATTTATTTTAAAAATAGATTTTTATTATTTTAAGTAGTATTATATTTCTGCTGATAACAAAACCATTTAATGTCCCACCATAAATAATTGATTGGAGTACTAGAAGTGAATGAACGACATTAACCTCTCCTTTTATGTTTAACTGCATGACAATATGAATATTTGTATTAAATAAAATTACTTTGCAAACGCGATTATATCCATTCTGACTAAAAGTTTTAAAATTGCTGTAAAACGTAATGGAAAACTAAATTATTAAATATTTAGTCTGGAAAATATTTTTAGCCGTTTGTTCGCTTATTCATTTTCAACAATTATTATTTGACATCGATTATTTGTACGTACGAATGAGTATATTATACAATGCAATAGTACGAGTATTATATACTCATAAAATGGTACGAGTATCTGATAAAATTGTGTGCGCGTATCTAAGCTATTCATTCCTCATTCCTCATGCCTCATACCTCACTTATCTTTCCCCTCAGTACGACATATGCAGTCGGAATCCATTTATTTGCAACAATTGTAAAATAACTTTTCCTCTACACAATTACAATTGTTGTCATTTTAATTTAAATCGTACAAAAATGCAAATTATTAATTCAATTTCTTTGACGCCTGAAGGTGACAACAATACAATGGAAAAATGTCAATGCGTACGTAATTCGAATATATATACTTGTACATACAATAGAGTAATAAAATATGTAATACCAATAAAAAAAACTTATTCTATTATACAATAACTCAATTTGATACACAATTGACACTGTTAAAATTATTTGAAGTCATGTAGG